ATTCTCGCAATATTGTGGTTGTGATTATCCCTGACCGTTTCATACAGTAGGCATTGTTGAAAATACTCACGCAATATTGTGGTAACATAGCTCTGTATGAAAGTGGCTTTAGTGTGGTGCTATGAGCGAGATTACAATGTTAGATGAAAAAAATTGTTAGATGATGTTTTGGTAGTTACTGTTGTGGCATGTTCAATTTTGGTGTGGTATTAGACCCTACAAAAATATTCTTAGTTTATCATGCTATATATGCTGAAATAGTGGAGGTATTTTTAGTTCCTTGCATGCAATGCAATAGGAACTCTTGTAATCACATTTTACGCGTGTGTGTATGTATGTGTGTGTAGACATTTAGAGTTAAATTCTGCATGCGTCCGGAAAGGTTTTCCGACATTTTGTTTTTACCTCGCGACATGAAGTTCCTCAGTGGTGGTTCAGTCACCTTCTTCCAGGTTTAAAAATAATTCTTCCGCGATAAAAATAATTAGAGCCCGCCCCGAATTACCTAATGTGGTAAAAACACTTCCTAATAAATCAAGTTTGCAATCCACTCAGTTTCTTTTTGAAACCCGACACAACATGAAGCCTAGTTTTGGTTTTCCGACATTTTGTTTATACCTCACAACGGGACAATCTTCAGTGATAAGCAAAATCCACTCAGTTTCTTTCTGAAACCCGGCATAACAAGAAGCCTACAGTACCGCCAGAAACTAGGCCTATTGTTGCAATTTTTCCTGCTCGCAGGTTTCGTAGCTACATCGTAAGCTGATATAAACAATCTAAGCAAGGCTACGAAGCGAACCACGAAGCAAAAGTGTGTTGTGTATTTGCATGTGCAAGAAAACTGCTGTAGCTTACTGGAATAAACAATGTATTGCTGGGTCATTTGTGAATTTAAAGTATGGAGCTGTTTTTTTCAATAAGAAAAATGTACACCTGATTTGATCAGAGTCTCCCCTTCCATTCGCTGTCGACGACAGGAACTTTCTTAATTAATTAGCTTAGGGCCTATCCTATTTTTAAAATTTACAATTAGTTTACCTCTTTTAACTGTCAAAAAATGTCCTCAATAAGAATACACACATGTGAAAAGATTGTTCATCAAACGATATTTTGTAGTCTTGATTTAGTAAGATAAATAATAAAGGAGAGTTAACATCTGTTAATTGTAAAATTACCGAATGTCGCATGGAAAACCCTGTGGAAAATAAAACTTGGCGAATTGCCAGTTCATGTCAACCCCAAATCCAGCAGCGGGCAGTGTGTGCGCCAATCAGAACACAGTTAATTGTGTTAAAGGTAAACCTCGTGGCAAATGTTAAAAAGCTGTGGGCGACAGTGAGTAAAAAATGAAGGAAATGCGGTCCAGCATGACTAGCCTTAATTAGGCAAGGTAGTGATTTCTATAATTCCATTACTAGTATTGAATCGCTTTGCAAGTTCTGCTCATTACGGTGAACAAAAACAATGTGATCTTTTAATGTAGAATTCTTAATAATTTTTACTTGATTTGTCATTGATATTATTTAAAAGGAAGAAAATTCCTACTGCCAGAACATTAACACCAGATTGCAAGTTAACCAGTATAATTACTGTCTGCTCTCCTCCTTAGAGGAAAATGTAGGCTGTAAATGACATCAAAATTCGAACTCACTGTTTTGCTGTAGGCCTAGCTGGGTAGCTAACCACGGTTTTAAAACATGATCGATCTAAGGTAGGAAATAACGAACAGTAAAGTTCTATCATTGTTTATTAGTAAATTACAACATTGCTCATGTGTTGAAAGGGGGTTGAAAGCTGGTAAACTATATTTCATATTGTTTATGCATTGTTTATCAGCCCGATGATCCAGCCAACGATCATTGCAAAGCTAATTATAATAACAAATGACCTTCGCAGGGGTTTGTAGCTACATTCAAAACGATACCTACGAGCAGGTTACTTGTGGTTACATGCAGATACGAAGCGATAATTCACGGCGGTACTGTAGGCTTGTTTTTACCCAGCGACATGACACTTGCAATCACATTTTGCGTGTGTGTATCACCGATCTCTACTATAATAGCTGGATTGCTCATAGGCTGGTTTTAGTAAAGCCACTGATGGCATGTTGGGGGGTTTCTTTTAGCATTTGTTTAAATTATTGTTAAAAATAACGATTCTTGCAAAACTTTTTAATAATAAATTTGAATTTAACGTAATGATTATTTTTCAAATTATCTATGTACTTCATGTGACTTTCATTGCAGTTTTAAAAAATGCAAGCAAAGTTATTTGCGTTGTTAGGGATCGACATTACTATAACAATGTGACTGTGCTCGCACTTTTTAAAACTGCATAAATAGTCGCGTCTAATAATAATAATAATATTAATAAGATTTATAAAGCGCACAAATCCACTGCAGTAGTGCTCAAGGTGCTACAGGAAGGAACAAAAAATCACCATGAACCTAAAGCTACAAGAAAAGAAACACCACACCATCACCGCACCGTTTACAGGGGCCCGCCTATTCATTACTCACAGGTGCTCAAGTAATGGGAGTATCTAACTAAAACAATTAAGCAAGCAAGCAAAACAAACCGGAGAACTAGGAAAAAGTAGCCGACAGCAGATGCGTCTTGAGAGCTTTTTTGAACAAAGCAGTAGACTGACACAAGCGAATATTTATTGGAAGTTTATTCCAAAGGCATGGAGCCGCAACAGCAAATGATCGATCATCCCATGAACATGTAGACCTAGTCTCAACAAGCAGAAGTTCGTCATTACCAGAGCAGAGAGTTCGCAATGGCTCGTACCATACAAGCAGTTCACTAAGATACCCAGGACCTTCATCTCTCAGAGTCTTAAAAGTAATGAGCAAAATCTTGAAAATGCTCCTGAAGGAAGCAGGTAGCCAATGAAGTTCTTGTAAAATCGGTGTGATGTGCTCACATTTCTTTGTTCCTGTAATGATCCTAGCAGATGTATTCTGCAACAGTTGGAGGCAATGCATAGAGAGAGAGAGAATTCCCAAAGTCAAGATATGAAGTAACAAATGCATGAATCAGTTGCTGATGTTGCTTTCCTAGAGAGGTACTTCCTAATCCTTTTTATATTGCGAAAGTGATATGTTGAGGAGCTAATAATTTTGGAAATATGCCTATTCAAGGTCATTGAAGAATCAAGTGTAATACCCAAATTCTAAACTTGAGGTACCTGATCGATCTGACATTCACCAATGTTGAAGTGGAGATCTTGGCATTTCTTCCTTTGTTGAGGTGAACCGAAGATGATGAATTCAGTCTTGTCCTCATTTAGTTGCAGA